GCTGGGGAGAAACGGTCACTGAAATCAGAGCTGGGCACATGAATTTGGAGTCAGTTTGTATCTGTTCGAGGCCCTTGATGAGTTTTCTGAATATTCTAGTCCTCTGACTTGTTCTGTACAGAAAAAGCTGATCTCTCTGGCATTGTCTGTCCAGTTCGCTGTCAGTCTCTGTGGAAGTTAGCATTTCACACTAGTCATTTTCGAGTTTTGTCTTTTTTTATTTTTGTGATAATAATATAATTATATTTCTCCCTTCCTTTTCCTCCATCAAAACTGTCCCATATGTCCTTCCAATTTGGTACTCTTTTTTTCACTAGTTGTGAAATATATGCATGCATATATGTATATTGAGTAGGTATATATTTCTAAATAGAACCTGTTGATTCTCTATAATGTTACTTGTATGTATGTTTTCAGAGCTGACTGTTTGGCACTGGGCAACCAGTTGGTGGGCTCTTCCCTGTGGAATATGATTTCTTCTGCTCCCAGCTTTTCTTAGTTGCCTGTAATTCTTTGTATAGGGTTGAGACTTCATGGATTTTTTTTTCCCCAGTGCAGTTTGCCATGTTCATTGGTGTCATCCTTTTTCAGTGTCTGGGCTGTCATGTTGGTGAGGCTTCATGGGTGTGGCTTCTGATATTACTAAGAGGTACAATCTCACAGCAAAGTCCTTGATTCTTTGACTTTTACAATCTTTATTTCCTCATCTTCTCTATGCTCCCTGAACCATTACAGAAGGTCCCCTTGACTCGGGATGTATTTATTATATATTTATTTAGTCATTACCATATTTGTGATTCTGTGTATAGACTGAAATTTTGGGTAATTTCTTTCCAATTTTGATGGTATATACGAGAATGTAGTTCCCCAAATTTACTCTTTTACTGGAGTTTCCTTTTATAAGCAAAGTTCACTGATACTTTCTACTTGGTAAAGCAATTTCAGGTATATTTAATGCTGCACTCCCTTCTGCCACACCAGTGAATTGAGGAGTGGGTACCATTTCCCCTTGTCTTTACTTAAATGAGCCATTGTTTCACTCCGCAAGGACAATGTAACTTTGCTCACCACAATAGATAGAGCAGACAAATAATATACAGTCTAGGGCCTCAACTGCCAACTAGTTTTCCCAGAGAAGTAAGTGGGAACAGGGCTTAGGCTCCAGGAAATTTTTGCAAAGCCACAAAAACTGATTCCCGTATTGCTTCCCAGTTATTTATCTAGAGGAAAGCAGTCATATACAGGTTATAAAGGCATGGACTCTAAAAGGAGATTTCTTGGACTCAGTTCCAGATTCTACCATATATGAGATTAAAATCCTTGGGACGTTGCTGAACCACTGCTATCTATGAAATCATGGAGACTATACTTGTCAGGTAATTTCCTTTGGGAGGGATTAAATTAGTTATTATAAAGTAGTTCAGAATTGAATATTAGTGCCAACAATACTCTAGGTCAGAAATTTTATTTTTGTAAGAGCCATAGTTATATGACATCTATTATGTGTTAGGCATTGATCCAAAGTCATTGGAGGTTTGAGAGTGAGTTCACACTTTGTTAGTGAACGCAGTTTAAAAGCTTAGCATTTTAAAAAGTTTTGTGTAAAGGATGCTGGCTCTGATTAGCAGAACCATAGATGATGATGCGTCCAGGCATGAAGTAGGACATATCAGATTAATTTAGTGTAATCAGGAAGAGTATGTCCAAATAAATGAGTCAACATTGCATTGAAACCTTAATGCTTAGTGGGAGTTATGCAATGGAAAAGGAAAAAGGTTGCATACAAATAGATGCTTGTAGAGCTGAAAGCCAAAATGAACAGACTCCCAGTAGTTTTAGTTTTTGGAAACTATTCTGTCTGTGGGCCAAATTTTAGTTCCTTTATCGGTGTGACATGAGGATAGTGAAGCACACAAGAGTTTTTAGTTTCTAATACTATATACACTGTATAGTCACATCATAATTTATTAGACTATAACTCACTGCTTAAACACATTTGCTTACTTTTAAAAGCGACAGTCCATACACATTTGTGCACTTATCTACTTATTTGTATTTCTAGTCCCAGAATTAGTGGTTTGGATGATTTTGTACATGTAAATCATGATACAAATATCAAGGCATAATTCCTTGAATAGTTGTGTCCTTTCTTAGTAAGCATCACCAGCAGTGAATGGATAGTATATTTTTCACCACATCTTTGTCTTCCCTAAACATTAAATGTATACATTAGCAATCTGATGGGTAAACTAGAACATCTTCTTGTTATTTTATATGCAATTAGCATAAAGTACACATACTAAAACTGTACAATTTGATGCATTTTAACTTATGCATGTAACTGTTACTAGAGCTAAGATAATCATTGCATCCTTTTAGAATATTTTTATTACATTTGTTTAGTGGGGGTGCACACATGTTGCAGCATGCTAATGGAGGCCAAAGAACATCCCTCAGAAGTGGGTTTTTTCCCTCCACTGAGTGGAAAATGGGGATTGAACTCTGGTTTCCAGGCTTGGAAGCAGCAGCCCAATCATTATATAGTTCATCATCAAATTTCTTCATGCTCTGTTATAACTGTATCCCTTGTTGCTTTTCTCCACCCTTCCTCCATCCTAGGCACAGTTACCAGCTTTCTATCACAAGAGATTACATTACATTTCCTGTCATTTATGGAAATAAATTCAAACAGTAAGTGCTTTCCTAGCTTTTAGAATTTTTAAATTGTCTTGATTTATCATGCAAAGTAATGGGGTTCATAGTTTCATTGGCATAGCTTTATAAATATATGCCATTTTATTTTGTTCTTTTTTCTTTTAATATTTCAATCGGTTTTTTAAATTTTTGATATTATAATATAATTATGTTTCTCCCTTCCCTTTCCTCCCTCCATACCCTCCCATATACCACTCCCTGCTTTTTTGAATCCATAGCCTCTTTTTCTCATTAATTGTTATCGCATGCCCCCCACTCCGTTACCCACTGCTCTCCTCACTCTTGCTTTCCACTCCGTTCTCCTGAAAAACTTCTTCCTCCTTTTGTGCTATATATTGTCCCTTCTTGTTCCACACTTATCCCTCCCTTTAGACACCTTTCTTCTCACAATCCTCTCTCTACTTTCATTTGTGTAAATATATATACATATATATATATATATATATGTGCATAGATTTTAAATTTAGGTTTTGCATATGACAGAAAAGTAAAGTGGTATTTATTTTTCTTTGTCTTATTTTGTTTAACTTGATGATCTCCAATTTCAACCATTTTCTTGAAAATATTTCATTCTTCTTTATGGCTGAGTAAAATTCCAGTGTGTGTGTGTGTGTGTGTGTGTGTGTGTGTGTGTGTGTGTGGTAAATTTTCTTTATCTGCTCCTCTCCTGGTGCATATCAAACAACAGTAAGTAATGAAATAAGCAATACATTAGTGCGAGAAAATCATCTGTGGCAGGATGTAGAGCCCTTAAGGTCCAGGAGAACTAACTTGATTCTTTTGGGGAACCTGCGTTCTGATTTACAAAGTATCTACATCACTTTATACCTCCACCAGGGTTCCTTCCATGTTTTTCACAATCTCATCATATGTATTTCTTCCTTTGGCCAATAAATAGTGATTTACAACAAACAGACAAAAAACCCAAAAACAAGATATAGTCTTGCTAAGTAGTCCTGGCTTTGAAGGGGTGGTCTTTCTGTCTCAGTCTCCAAACTGCTGAGATTAACTGCATTAACTACCACACCCAGACTGATAATCGGTCTTTTTTTCCTTATTTGAATGATTTCACTCATCATTTTTCTTTTGTTTTTGTCCTGAATAACACATCAATATACACATGTGGTACCCTTTGATTAAGCAGCCGCCCATGCAAAAACATTTTAACTATTTGCAGTTTGTCTCTATAATAAAAACCAAGTGACAAGGGCACCTGCATGCTTTTACTTTTAAATAAACAAAATATTTTTCTTTTTAATATATTAATTTTTATTAATGTATTTTGTTTTTTGACAATTGCAAATGTTTTTTATCTTATTTATTATTATTAGTGTGTGTTGTGTGTATGATTTGTATAGGCATACTCATACCATGACACACATGTCGAGGTCAGGGGACAATTTCTATAGTCAGTTCTCTTCTTCTGCCTTTATGTGGGCTCTAGGGATCAAACTAGGGCTATCAGACATTCACAGCTAGTGTTTTTATTCACAGAACCATCTTTCTATCCATTTTTAAATGAAAAGTTTAAGTTAGTATACATTTAAGTTAGGTTCATTATGGCATTTTCATACATACTTTTTTTGTCCACCTCCTTCTCCCTATGCTTTTGCAGTCCTGCCACTTCCCTCTGACTAGTTCCCTTTTATTCTTCTTTTAGTAGCCGCCCCTTACTTTTAAGCCATGTAAATTCCATTACCTTCTCTTTTTCCTTCTTCATCCCTTCCTTAAAATATCTTCTTCCAGCCAAATGTGGTGGTACATGTCTGTAATCCCAGTCCTCGAGAGAGGAAGGCAGGAAGATCATGAGTTCAAGGCCAGCATGGGCTTCATGAAAACCTCAAGAACAAAACAAAGGCCCATGAGATGCCTCAGTTAGGAAAGGGTCTTGCTGCCAAGCCTGACAGTCTGGGAATCACATGGTGGAAGGAGAGAACAGACTTCCGCAGGTTGTCCTCTGATGTCCTCACACTCACATGTACACCAACACACACAAAACAAAATAAATAAATGTCAACATTTAAAACCCCAGAAAAACAACCAAAAGAACCCAAAACAAAGTAAAACCAAAAAATCCTTTTTCCCCCTCTCAAGATCCCTTCACTTATCTCCCTCCTACTCCTGCTGCTGGTCACTCTTCTCAACTAGTCCCCCTCATGTGTGTGTGTGTGTGTGAGACAGCGAGAGAGAATGTGTGTGTGTGTGTGTGTGTGTGTGTGAGAGAGAGAGAGAGAGAGAGAGAGAGATAGAGAGAGAGAGAGAGAGAGAGAGGTTAATTAGGGATACTCATATAGCATGGGTAGGTTGTTTTCTGGAGCATGGACAATTTACTAGTGGCTAAATACAGAAGAAAATTACTCTCCCTCCCCTAGCAGCCATTAACTGTCAGTAGGTCCACAGTCAGGGGTGGGGGCCTCCCAAGCCCTTCACTTAGCCATGACAGAATGTTAAAGAGCTCCACCTTGCGTAAGTAACCATAGCTACTATGTACATGATGACAAAAGCCATACCCTATGCAGAAAACAGCATTCATAGCACTCCTCCGCATCTGCCAGCTTTTACAGATTTTCAACCTTGTCTTCCACAGTGTTTCCTGGACCTTGAAAGAGTTCAGATAGATGTCCTTTTAAAGGGTAAGCACTCAACAGTGCCTTATTCTGACCATTTTGACCAGTTGTGAGTCTCTGCATTCACCATTACACACAGACTCTCTGCCCAAGACCAAGAGTGGCACTAATCTATGGGTATAGACATATTGATTTAGAAGGCAGCTTCAAGAAACACAAATTTAGCAAATCAATAGTAATAGATTTTCCCTAAGGGCCTGTGATCTCCATAGCCATTGACTTTAAGCCAGGTTTGCAGCATCAGACATGAATTCCTTCCAGTGGAGCAGACCTCAAATCCAATCAGAAAATGGTCAGTTATCCTCAAACTAGTTATTAAAATAACTGAAAGGAACTCATGTCTGATGTTGTAACCTTGGCTTAAGGTCTACCCTTGGCTAGAGAGGTCATAGACCCTAGAGTAGGAACTATTACTACCATTTACACAAACCAATATAATTTCTAAATGTTTTATAAATATTTATCCTTATTGTCACAGTCATCAAAGAAGTGTCTTTTTGCAACAGACAGAGACTATTACAAAGATCCACAACTGGTCAAAATGCAGAGAACAGCAGACCATGGGTGTCCAAAGCCAGTTGATATATCTACAACATAGTTTCTATGTCTAAGGCACAGGAAAAATCATGGAAACAGGGGTAGAAAGAGCATAAAGACAACCAGGATACTTGATGTGAGCCACTGTCCTCTAGACATGACAGGGAAGATGTACCCAGGAAGTCTTGATAATATGGTTACCTAAACAAGACCAGCATAATGACAACACCAGTCAACTTGTCAGCTTAGATGAAACAAATCTCACAAGGCCCCACACCTAAGTGAAGAGTTTCAGGCCATCATGAGCTTCTGAGAGAGGGAGATTCAGTTTTCCTCAGGGACAAGCTTCTCTGATGGGTTAATCAATCCCAAGTCATCAACACTAAACACATACACATATAAGCAACATTATATGGATTCAGCAGACTTCTGTGTATGTGTATATGTATATGTTTATATGTATTTATGTATATGTATGTGTGTAACAATAATGAAAAATAATATTAATTTGAAAAGAAGTAAAAAATGGTAAAGGGGTGGAAATAATGTAAATACAGTACTAATTTATGAAATTTTTAATATGGAAAAATTTAGATAAATAATATCATGTGTCTATGTGTGTATGTGTTCATGTGTACGAATGTAGGTATGTATGGCCATGGCAGGTTTGTGCAGATCAGAGGACAGACAGCCATAGTTATTAGTCCTTACCTTCAACCTTGTTTGAGATAATGTCTTTTTGGTGTTTGCCACTATGCGTACCAGGATAACAACTCCCGAACTTCTGGGGAGTCCCCTGCCTTTGTCTCACATCTGGGATTACAGATGCAAGCTACTGCACTTGCTTTCCCTGGGTTATGAGGCTTCAAACTCGGGTCCTCACACTTGCACAGCCAGTGCTTTACCAAGGGAGCCATCTCCCCAGCCTATGGTTCATTATTCCTGCATGAGTGACAGTCCACTATCTGACTTTTGGTGTATTCAGAAAAAATACCCAATAAAATAAAACCACATGGTGAAATTTAACAAATATCATATAAAACTTTTCTGAGAACACACAATTATTTTTACAAATCTGACCCTTCATTTGTTACTAAATAATATTTATTATAGTCAATACTTTCTAATATGAGTTCAACTCTATTGGGTATAAAATGATGTGTGTCTTGTCTGTGCCATCCAATCTGCTGTAAACAGCCATATTTAGCTAACACACACACACACACACACACAAACACACACACACACATAACAAATGTGTGTACACATAACAAATATAGTAATTGTGTTGGTACTATGGGTTGGCAAATAGGGGCACTTGCTGCCAAGTCTGATGGCCTGAGTTTGGTCCCTGGGATCCACATAGTGAAAGTAGAGGGTTGATTTCCCTAGGTTGTCCTCTGACTTCCATAAAAGCAGACACACACACACACACACACACACACACACACGAGATGGGGGTGTAAATATAAAAGTACCACAGTAATGGTAACAATCTAGCAAATGGAACTTTCCACATAAAGGACATTTGTAGAAAAATAAATCAGTTTCTATAGAAATACTGAATATCACTGAAACAAAAGACCTCCAAGTCAAATGCTTTCAATTTTTAAGTGGAAGTAGCTGAAGCTTGGTTTCAATTTCCTCTACAAACTCTAATGAATACTAACACTGACTGGTTGCCACGAATTGTGCAGAACTAATGGCCATCATAGAGACAACCCTGAAAGGTTCTTACTTTGTAGAATTTCACATTGTGGACACAGGTAGACATCTTGATGATGTTCTTTATTTTTATTTTAAATTAACTTT